TTTCAACATATACAAGCAGTAGTGAAAGTAATATAACATTCAGCTATTTATACGTAAACACGGATATTTTCAATACAATCTTGAAACCATTTCTGATCATTCGAATGGATTGGAAAATTTTAATATCGGAGTTGATAATACTTTTGTCAGTGAAAATTCTGGAAGTGATACTCTTCATGTTAATCAATACGTAAACCCGACTTGTCTCAATGTTCCAAACATCTATGAAGATTTGAATCACACGAATGTTGACACACACAAATACGAAAGTCCTCATATAGAAGGGAGTACAACCTGTACCAAGTAGAAACAAAACAATCAATTAAAGTGTCCAGTTGTTCCTGAAATATCTTACGACTCATGTAGGCAAAATTGTCTGATTTATTTTATCATATTATTAGTATTACAATTTAATACATCATTGTTGTCTGAGCAATGTTAAATTTACTTTGTACAAACTTTAAAAACAAAACGACGAGGCAAAATACTATAGCTTTCTGGTACAAACAAAAGGTTTATAAAGATATGTCAGGAAATGGCTTAACTAAGGTAAACATCATGATGACCACAAATAATAAATCTTACTGCCTTCATTATGACGACACAAGCAAAATACCAAAATACAAAAAAAATACAAAAAAATACAAAAAAATGAATGATCCTTTACTACTTCCTCAAAAAGTTGATTTCAGTGAGACTGATGACAATTTTTATTTCTAATTTTCCCTTTGACTATTTGATGTCATGAACTGTGAGGTAATCATGGTTATTATCTGCATGTGTTTATTGTCAGCGATACATTACCCATTTAAATGTTTAAACTCTGTCCGTTCCAGCAGGTCTCGCTTTAACTCATGTATCTACGACCGATTGTTTCCAATTTTTTGTATCCCTGATACCATATAGGTTGTGGTTCTGCTATTTAATTCCAATTTGTTTTTTTTAAATCAATTGCAGTCAATTCAGTGCTGTTCAGTAACTTTTCAGACATTTGAATATGATGATTCATATGTACATGTAAATAACAACTACATAAACTAAACATATGACTGTTTACAAAATACTCCAAAATTTATCGCAGTGGATGATTCTAAAAATTGTTAGACTGAAAATTCCTAAATATTTCGGCTGTCTTTTAAGAGCGGTTCAGATCAAAACGACCGTTTCAGATCAGTTTACTCGTGCAAAAGACCACATGATGTTTTATTAATCACCATTGCCGGTCCAAGATTTATCTCAGAGACCAGTCAGATCTCACATTATAACATATGTACAGGTAACACGTTTTTGCCAGATTTCGCTATAAACTGAATAAATATTGAACGAATTAATATCAATTTTTACTTTTATTGAATTCAAAAGATCGGCTATACATTTTATTTTTAATACGCCGCCTTTTATTCGACTTTCGCCCTATCACGTCTAAAACTCGTATATCAATAAATCACGCTTTTAATGTTTGTATGAATAGCCGTGCTGTATATTCTATTCGTTGCTTGCATGGCTAACTGTTTATTTTGGACTTTTTGAAATTTGAATATATGTATGTTATAAATCAAATATAATACTTTGGGTCAAATTGGTGAACAGGAATGTCGTAGAGGTATTTGACGAAACTACTATTGTTGATCATTTTCAAAAGGGAATGCAAGTGCTTTGTTTTCTTTTGCTGCCTAACAAAATTAATTATAGAAGGAATTACCAAAGCGCATGATGTGTGTGTGTGTGTGTGTATGTGTGTGTTTCGATGAAATGTTTAACAAAATATGTATTACATCTGATATGTATTTAACAATTGGCACTGTCAAAACTGATAATGTTTATTTGCTTTTTTATGTGTGATATATTGTAGTGTATATATTTGATCTATATTATTTAATTTAATTTTTTTTTTTTTCTTTTTATTGATTTAATGGTATTTGTTTTATTATAATTTAAGAATTATTTCCTTTTATATTTAATATGTTTAAATGTTAACAACGTTCTTCCACATTGTGTATGAGTAATATCATTATTAACCAAACTACTGGTTTAAAATGATGACATAAAATCAGCACTGATACGGATAAATCTTTGGACCTAACGTAATGTACACGATACACCTTTATCATTAAACATGTATATTAAAAGTTTGTGTTCTTTGTCCACTTTGATTAGAAAAATGTATGTGATTTCCATATGCAATAATCTATCTCCTATACTTATACCACTATAATACAATATTTGATCAGTACTATACTGTCTACACAATCCCATTAAATTATAATAGTGTTTCCTCTTGTTGGACACCGGAAATTCATAGAAAAATATTTGCATAGCGTTGTTTCTCCACTATTTTTCATTTTTTTTTTTTGCCGTTTGGTTTTGTTGCACTTCAGTGTTTTTGTTTTTTCTTTGTTTTTCTTTTATAGTTGGTGTGTTTCTCTCGGTTTTGGTTTGTAATCCGGATTTGTTTTTTCTCAATCGATTTTTTATGCCGTTCGGTTTTTGTTGCACTTTAGTGTTTATGTTGTTTCTTTGTTTTTTTTTTTTTTATGGTTGGTGTATTTCTCTCGGTTTTGGTTTGTAATCCGGATTTTTGAACACCGGTTTACTACTTTTCCCTTTGTCTAACTCCAAACAAATGTATACTTTATTAAAGGTACTTGTCTATCGAAATAACAATCAAACAACGAGTTAATTGTCAAATGTTTAAATTTGTTTTCTACATGGTTTTGGTTATCTCAGTCAAATATTTGTGATATTGCACTTTAAAACTTCAGAATCAATTTCCCCACATATAGAAAATTTAAGTTAACATAATTATAAGATTTGCACAACGTTGAGTTGTGTTTTATAACGATTTGAAACGGACACATTCCACAGATTTTCCGAGTAAAAGTTTCGATTATTATCACAGTTTCATTTTCCTCGATCAATCATTAGAACGCAGACGATTCAAGAGTATAAAGCGGTGTCGAATAGGCAAAAAATCGTCTTTATTTTGGGTTTAATCTCCTCACATAACACCTGGCTACCACTGGTCTAAATTTTAATATACATATGTCTACTTCACTTTCCGCCCTTTCGTAAAAATTAATGTTGTCACATGTACAGTTTTATTTTTCAAAAGACTATGGTCGTCAATTTGTAATCCAACTCTTTCAGTTTTTTTATTTGAACAGAAATGCTTTCATTTTCGTCTACAGTATTTTATTTTTGAGATTACCATCTTTCATATTGGCAGTCTTGATTTTCATTGCATTTTAAAATAAAGTTTTACCTTCTATTGAAAGTTGTTTTTTTCTTCCGTTAAAATATAGACATCAACTATATTTGCTAGTCCATTTAAGTACATATTAGTTACTAATGAATGAATGTTAAAACTCTTAAACATCCTTGAAATTATTGCTTATGAACATAGTATAGATAGTTTGAAAGTTCTTGGTAAAAATTTATTTGAAAAACTTCAATTTTGTCACAGAACTTGATCACTCTTCTCACAGTCATTTATTTTTCTAGCACTTTCAGTTATGTTAATCTACTACCTTTTTGCTATCTTATATACTAGTTATGTTTTCATTTAAATGTTGTTATGTATAAAAAATCTTTAATATGTTAATATCTAAGTATTTTCACCGTTTTGTGTCATAGAAAAGGTCTTAAACCAAAGAACATGTCTAAAATGTAAAACATAAGAAGATGAAAACCACTTCCCAGTTAACACAAAAATGTTTTTAAAATATATTTAAAATATATTGCACTATATCACAAAAACATCATAAAAAATATTTTATTGAGGTTAAATGTATGGCTGTACTAATGCGAATTACATATTGTAAGGAAATATTTTTATTGTATGTTTTAAAAATATTTTTCTTAAACATCATTTTTAACATCTAAATAACATAATAAAGATATTTGTTCAATATTGATTGAAAACATCAGAACAACATTTAAAATACATTTTCCCAAATCGATTGGCCAATCACCCTTTCAAAATGTTTTATGGATGTTATATAAATGTTTTAAAAATATTTTAGGCATGTTTTACTGAAACATTTAAAATAAATGTGAAAAAAAAATATTTCAATAATGTAATATGTATGTAAAATGATAAAAAAGATTTACAACATTTTAAATAATTTGAGTAAAACAATTTTAACATCACAAAAATGTTTTCTGGGTATTGAGGTTAAATGTATTGCTGTAATAATGTGAATAACATATTTAAGAAAAATATTTTAATTGAATGTTTTCAGACTGTTTTTCTTAAATATCATTTTTATACTTAAATAACATAATAAATATATTTTTAATGTTATTTGAAAACATCTGGACCTGCATTGCTGTGTGTAATTGATTGAAATTTCAAACTATCTGCAAACAGAGAGTATAGCTGCAAGGCAAATGTAAAAATTGCTTGCACCGTCCTGGGCCGCCTTATGGAGCTACATTTATGGTTAATCTAATTCCACCTATTTCACTCCAACTGTGTCTAGTTTGGAGCCTGTGGTCCCTCTTTTCAAAATTCTGGATCTGCATCTGAAAAACAACTGCTGTCATACTGATCTTTATCCCACATCTCCTTTTACAATTGTCAGTTGATGACTGTGGAATCTACATATATTTTGGTTATTTTTGTCGGATTGATGTCTCGTTGACATAACCCCACCATTTCCTGTTTAAGCTATCATTTTTATTCACAAATCTGATTTTTATTTAATAGTCCATTTTGTTATTTTGAAGTATTGCCTTGAACACGTTACAATTTCTCATGGATTCACTTACAGAAAGGTATTCTTTTTTTCAGATTTTAAATATCTGTGTGCATTTTATTTGGTCTTCGCATTGAACAAAACATTTTTGAGAAGTATTTCTTGATCTTTTGTTTGATCATGTGTAGCATCTGACATTTTTTTTCTGATCAGCGTTTTGACTGTTTTCTTTGTTGCCTTAGTCAACACTTTACAAGATACCAACAATTAGAAATGCAAAACATTTATTCAATATTTTCATATCACTGTTCTTTTTCAATTTTCCTTTTGTTCCATTCTTTTTATTTCTTTTGACATCTACTGGCTTCTGTAATAAAGAAAAAAAAAACCAAGTTAGTCCTTCTGTTCAGTGATTAACTAGTAGAGATTCAACTAATTCCATCAAATTACATAAGAAACTTTTTTTCTTCAATTTAATCCAGTGGTTTCACAAAAATATATCGAAAGTGTCATCTAATCAGTGTTACTGGATTCAGAAGCAAAATTTGTAGCTATTTTATACATCTGTGGAGCTTGGGGTGTATGAATATTACACGAGTCTACAACGGTAGAGTTCACCAGTTTATAAAATAAGACTACATGTATACAGTACAATACTCCCAATTGAGAGTAGGGCCTGTAACCTTTTCTTGGTCTTGACAAAAAAAAAAAACAAGTCTCTTAATGGTTATTGTATATTTTAACGCAAATACATGTAATATAGATTGAGGATTTTAAAGAATAAATACCTTCACAAAATTTGCTCCGCTCCTCCAGGATGGTTTGAATCATTTCTAAGCTTATATACTTCTGCATATCTTGAATATCCTTAATTTTGGCACTGCTAATTGATCCTACAAAAGTTAAAAAAAAACAAAATAAATAAAATACAGGTAAGAATAACTCACATTGTATTAGTCAGCTACAAAGGCCACATTATTCAAAAATGAAAGAAAATTCAAACAAGAAAACTTATGGCATAATTTATAACGTTTGACGAAAAACAAATATGTCAGAAATGAACCAACGACAACTGCTGAATCAAAGGCTCCTGATTTTGAATGGGCACATAAATAATTATCTACATTTAACTGGCCTGGGCTGTAACCGTGTAGGGCTCAAAATACAAATTACAAGTAACATAAACAATATATTATAGCAGTGTGCACCAAAATCTTTTCCTACAACTAGTCCGAAGACAAATCTTCAGACATTTTCCTTATGTCTAAACAAAATTTTGCAAAAATTTACTAGTCCGAATAAAATTTTACTAGTCTGGGGCATTGCCATTGGACTAGTTGCTAACCATGCAGGCTGTTATAGAGGCAACGGCACTCGAGTTATGGCATAGCAAAAGCTTTGATAACCATTGCGTGATGGGATTCCCTTGACTAGTAGATACATAGCCAGCGGTTGAGCTAGGGAAGTACTGCTTAAATAGCTCAGTCTGTTAAAGGGTTGACTTGTAACACCGAAGAGTGACGTCCAGGAGGAGACAAGCTCACTGGTTACAAGTGATTTCATTTATGAAGTTTAAAATCATATAAATAACCCTTAAGTTTAACCCCTTTTGTATGAATCTTAATATTTATTGGACATAAACATCATAACATATATGCACTGACTAAATCATCACCCCCCTTTTTGCATTGTGTTTGCTTAAATACACTCGTATTAATTCTTGGAATATATTAATTAAATTAACTATGATATTTCTAGAAGCACTACAATGTTTTAAAAATGTGAACTAGTGTCATATCTTACCAGTTTTAACGCATGATAAGGTTATTCTTTAGTTTGTACGTTTCCTTTGTCTTTGTTTACAGCATGGCGGTAAATAAAACTTCCGGTTACTGGTTCCAGAATTGCATCGGATTATGTTCGTTGGTCATCGGGAACAGTTAAATTTTAAATTTGTAAACGTTTGTTGTCGGCACTGGAACAGAAAATCCGGAAAATAGCAATACGTGCACTATATAAAGCTATATATGGGAAGTACCGCTTCATATCACCTTTAAGTTTCTGTCATTTGATAAAATAAAGTTTTTATTCAATAACCTAAATGAATGTTTGCATAATATTGTTTAAACATTTTCTATTAAATGTTTTTGCGTAAATGTTTTTCATAATATTATTTTAAAATGTTGTTAAAATATTAGCAACAAAATAATTCGTAAATACATTTTCTCAATATTAAATGCGTAACATTTTTAAAATGTTTGCATCAAATATTATAATGAAATGTTGTTAAAATATCAAAAAGGCATGTTATTAAAACATTTCATGAAACGTTTTTAGAAAATGTTTAAAAAACATAGGAACAACATTGTTAAGAATGTTTTACCCATATGCTTTTAAAATGTTTTTCAGAGGTAGAACCTACATATCTTCTGAACATTTATAAAACATTCAAACAAAATATCTTAAACAAAAGTTATTGAAAACATTTTTATGAATATTTTTACATCATTGTAAAAACATTTTCAAAAAATGTTTTAAATAAATGTTTTTAAAATACCGAAAAAAATATCTACATTACATCACAAAAATATTTTTTCGACAACGTTTTGAGAAGACATTTATACAACCTTTTAAAAATGTTTTGAAAATGTTTTGTGCTACCTGGGTTTCTCCTCTACTGTCAAATTAATCATAAATTACGTTTAAAACTTTTTATTGCCATTACAATAGATAATCCTATATTTCCAATTCATGATATGGGAAAACTAGTAGTCCTGCAAATATCAACCAAGTAAAAAAAAAAGGTTCAATTAAAAGTCTTGAGAGCTGAAAACAGGGGACTCTTAGTTATGTTTGCTTGTATATATACATATAAACACATATTCAAATCAGTTTATTATTTGTTATTGTTATCATTTGTATTACGTGACAAGTTTCATATCTTACTTATATGACAATAAAGAATTATCATAAAAGCTAATATAACCGACGCATACTTCGATTGAAGATTCCGTTCGTATAATTTTGATTTGAAAAGTTACCCACGAACACAACTTTCTTTTTCAGATTCTTAAGATTAGAACAATTGTTGTCCAAATTGGGTAGTAACTGGTAATTTCATAGGTTTACGTCAAAACTAAATCAAGCAAAACTGAACAGGTTGTCTTTATTTGATGGCCTTGCATGTGAGGAACCTGTAATAATCCCTTAGTTCTTTAGTTAGATGAACATGTGTATTGTATTTATCAAGTAAATCACTTGTTTCCTCTTCTGTTAGATGTCCACTGTTTGATATTATAAATGCATAGTCCTGACATTTACAGCAAAGATCAGTGAATGGTTTAGACAACACTATGTTAGGAAATAAATCTTTCCGTCATCTTTGAAAAGTATGTAAACTAAAGTTTCTGAATTTCAGTTCTGTAGCTAATGTTTTACATAACTCGTGAGTATCAAATGCTGTCTTATCTGAAGGAAGAAGTAAGACCCGGAGAATATCTGAAAGTGTTCACTGAATTCAAGGACAGTATCCATAGAATCAACCAGATAACATTTAGCCTGTGAAACATATTCACGATTGTCCTCATCTGATGAATCAATTTGATAAAAGTACAAACGTGTTCTGACTCGGAATCATCAGACTCAAAGTTAACAACAGCGTCATCATCATCGCTAAGATTTTCACTTTGAGAACCTTCTATTATGGGCTAAATATAATTTATCGGTAATCTGTAAATCTCCAAAGCTATTAAACCAAGAGTTCCAAATGGTGAAGTTGAAATCACCCCTTCGTAAATTTTACGGACGCCATCACGAGTTGGTTGACCGTTATGGAATAACCGTTTCACAGATGATATCGGATATGTTTCTTACGTCGTAACTACAATTCCCTTCCCTTTTCATGAATGTGACCTACCGAATTAGACTATTTACCGGGTTTGTAATAACACGAGCAACACGACGGGTGCCACATATGGAGCAGGATATGCTTACCCTTCCGGAGCACCTGAGATCACCCCCAGTTTTTGGTGGGGTTCGTGTTGCTCAGTCTTTAGTTTTCTATGTTGTTTCTTGTGAACTATTATTTGTCAGCTGTCTTTTTCATTTTTAGCCATGGCGTTGTCAGTTTATTTTCGATTTATGAGTTTGACTGTGAGTGTTCCTCTGGTATCTTTCGCCTCTATTTCAATAAATTCCTCGTCCTGTTTGTCTGTTATTTTCGATGGAATACTTAAGCAAAACGAAACAAAACTAGCGTGACTCATGACTATGACATCTCACTTTGTCAGCTTTCGTTTTCGGTATGCAGGTAACTATAACTGAAGAATTTAATTTTTCTAGTGTTCACTACAAAAGTCCAAAAAGTCTGAAAAGACCAGTTTGTGTTTCTATTTGCATGAACTTTTACTCGACAATCTCTTTTTGTATGAAATTTTTGTAAAAATTCTCGACAAAGTCTAAATTTGTCTGAAATAAGTATCTAGATTCTCGACATTGGTCTCGACTATCTGTATTAATACTTGATTATTCTCGACATATGTCTTGACAGTATTAATATTGTCTGAAAATTCTCGACACTTTCTCGACAGTCTGAAAAGTGTCTTGATTTGTCTCGACCTATTCTCGACTGTCTTGGATTTGTCTCGATAAGTCTCGTCATATTCCTGACATTCTTAATGATGTCTGAATATGTCTCGACACATTCTTGACATTCTTAATGATGTATGAATATGTCTCGACACATTCTTGATGGTTTTAATGATGTCTTAATATGTCTCGACACATTCTCGACAGTTTAAATTTCATCTGAATTGTGTATCGACGCATTCTTGACAGTCTAAACACTTTCTTGAGCTGTATTATATTCATTTCTATTATTGCTTAACTAAACCTAGAAGAATTAGAATACAATAACACAATGTAAATTATAAAAACATCAATTTGGTACAATTATTGTTTATTAACCATATAAACATTGAATATTATGCATGTAAAATGAAATTTGTCTACAGTATTATTGATTGATTTCAATTATTAAGCACTTGTTTATTATATTTATAAATTAACATTTGTAATTATTTACAAACCCACATTAAAATTGGTTTATATTTAAACATACTCACATTTGTATTTGTAACATTTTTATACCAATATTTGTTTTTATCAAAATACATATAAACATTTTTAATACAAAAATATTTAATTGCCAAAATTTTGTTTTAGTAGTAATAAGTGTAACTTGAAATAACAGTAAATTCTAGAAAGAGAAATAAAGCAAAATATATATCCTGTACAATGGTCGTGATTTGTAAAGCTGAGAACTTGAGTTTTTTTTTCAATTACAGAAGAAAGTAGGATTCGAAATGCAGCGTTTTACGTTTCCACATTTTGGCACTACGTTTCAGCATTTTTATAGTACTCTTTTACACATTGTTTTTACATAGATAATACTGACCTAAAACAAATAAGGACATGAAATTGTGTGGTCAAAAAAATAAATCAAACATATGCAAATGAACATACAAGATATAACCAAATACGGAATTCAACGCATATAGGGTGCTATTCAACATGGTGACTTTTGAAAAGTGCTCACAATGTTACATCTAAATATAATCTACCTGTTGAAGAAATTAATAAAATACAAATTGAGAAAAAATACTATAATAAAATAAAGTCTTATATATCATTATTACCATTTTTTACAGGTGAAATACAGGTAACAATATGGAAAGGTGGTATCTATTTTTTTTGGAAAAGTAATGCATGAAAATGCGGAAACGTGAAACTGGACTTTTTCTAAAAATGCGGAAACGTAATACGCCCTTCGAAATGAATATCTCATAGAAAATAGCAAACTTGACTTCCATTTAAAAAAAATCTCTAAAACACTTCTATAAAACCTTTTATCCGCTTATTTTTTCTCTTTTGAACAATTCTATCTATAAACAGCCAGAAAATACATAACAAAGGAAGTTCTGTACCTTTCCAAGTATATAAAAAGAACGATTTCTCTACTTCATACAAAATATATACATGTATAAATGCATATCTAAACTTTTAAAAACCATATTTTATTGTCTTCTAAAGCAAATACAACTGGATTGCTTATTTTATCAAAGCTTAATATATGTGTGTCAACTTTTCTGTCATCAGTGACCAAGAATAGTCCAGATTGTTCCGGAATAGGAAACATCTCCAATTGTACCCACATGATAGCTTTATCTTTATGGTTGTGAAGGAAAATTGTATGAATTGTTCCATAGCGAAGGTTTGTCCTATGCAAAACACTAACGCAATAGTCATGTGAGCGTGATGCCGTTGTCTGATGCTCTGTTGTAGAAAAGAAAATTTGTCGTTTTAACTCCACATCCTGTCTATGACTGAACTTAAGATATGTGACCACTGGGTCTATGTCAAATAACTTATAACTTTGGTTATATATACTATTGTAATTGTCTTGTAGAATCGATAGACCGTCACTTTGCAGCATGAATCTTTTTGTAGATGATGTAAATATATCTTGATGGTGAATGGAATTAACTTTTTCTTCCATGCGACACAAACTTGTTTGTCTGCTGCAATTTAAAACTTCATCGATCAAAATGTTGTGGGAGCTCCAATCATATATCTGAAATAAAAATTAAGGAAATTAATTTATGCATACTAGAGTAAGTGAGTGATATGTGATAAGTTGTATCTAAACCAAGCATGGGGCGAATTACATTGCAATGTAATGCATTATATTACAATTACTTTGACCAAACCATGCATTATATTACAATTACAATTACATGCATTTATCAAAGTAATGCATTATATTACAATTACTTTTGCAAAGTAATGCCTTGAATTACACATTACATTTTGAAAATTTTATTAGTGAATAGAAAAATTTAACATTTTGAAAAACAACTAGAAGTCACAAAAGATTCTAGCATATGCAGTAACTGTTCCATGAATTGAATATAAGTATACATGTAAAAAGTCTATTTAATTTGACTTTTACAATTTTTAATTAATTTAACTTAATGTTGACTTTACT